GGTTGGGTAGCTGCTTTTTGTTTTAACCGCTATCCAAACAACCTTTCTGGCATGGTAGGATCTCAAGAGACATAAGCCTCAGCCAGTATAGCTTGATTAGGTCATTGCGGTGTTCAAGCCCGACCACCACGTCAAGGTAGCAGCTTTCGGTCGGGATATTGGTCACTGCTAACCATGAGAGCGTAGCTCCTAACGCTGACTTGTGGATGAGACTTCAAGTCAAAAGCTCGGAGGATGGTCCCGTAGGACAACCACATGTTTCGGTTTGGGCACCCACGCAGTATCTTAGCCCTCACACACACAATGAAATGAAGCAATTGGTCATGAGTAAATCAAATCGCACGCTCATTCTAATGCTCTAGAACAATAATGATATTTCATGCAACGGTCTTCCTTTTAACCTTATTTTTATACGTAAACTCTTGTTTTACTTTTGCTATTCTTAATGTCTTCACTTTTGTCAGCCTCTTGCTCTTGTCTGAATCCTCAACCTTTCTGTGCCATTTCTAGATGTCAGTGAGTAGTCTTCAAAATGTTGGTCCCAAGTGAGATATCCAACGCAGATATTCTGAAACCGTGGGTCTTGTTCAAGCTTTCTAACTGCACTGTTCGGACACTAATGCAAATCGGACAACAGGAAAGCTTGGTAAGAACATCAGAAAGCCTTGTTGTCGATGTCTGCTGAATTATCGGAGACCCGCATTCAAGATCCCAGTGAGATGCTTCCAGTACCTTCCCCATCTCAAAGTCAGAATAGTATGTACTACGTGTATCATCGGGTAACCCTATGGCGTCAGAGTCCGGTAGTAGCTGGTGTCGGTGTCGCAATATAGCCGAAGTTGCATTACTCGACTGGATTCCAACTAACATTTGTATATGTGTTGTGAGGCTAGAAGGTTATGCGAGAGTGGGGAGCGGTAGGCCAGATAGGTGATGACTATTTTTTGTCTCTGCATATGCACCGACCGATCGCAGCCTGGATGCAGTTAAGGATGAGTTTTACTGCCAACTGAGTGATCTCCTGGAAATGACGCGTCAGAGATACCGTAGTGCTGGCTAGGGACTACCATGCACAGATCGCGCGTCTAGGCTCACAGAACAGTCATTTAGGTGTTTTGTGGGCACTTCATGGTTGCAGATCAGATAATGGGGACCGCATTCTTAAGCTTTAAACAGGTAACAACCTCTTTCTAGCTAGGACCAACTTCTTGCACAGCCACTGCCGTAGAGCTACCTGGCGTCTTCCCTATGCCAATCAAGCCTGAACTCAGATTGATCATATCACTGTCAGTTTGCGACGTTGAGGATTCATACACACGCCTCTTCTACAGTTCATATTTGGACTCCGATCACGTGTGCCAAGTTCATCTTGCAATATGGTGGTGTTCATAAACGGAGTCATATACATGTTGATGTTAGCAAATTGGTAGCACGTGCTACCTCTGAATTACCAGGCTGTTACAATCAAAGATAGCTAACAAACCTCCCAGTAGTATAAATGGACACTGGCTAGATATGTAGGACTCCATGAAAATGACGATGAAAGCTGCTTGAGGATTGAAAGAATGCTCCGCTAAGAACCATTGGGTTTCTGCGAGTTCCTTGCCGAATCATTGCTGCAGCCAACGAGTACAATATGTGAAAGGCACTTACGCACGAGACTAAACAGTGTTTACATAAGGACCGCGAAGTCTGATGTTCAGAATGTAAGTGTGAGATGGAATCAGCAGCTGCATCTGATAGGTATTCCAGTTCATCCGAGTCACCGAAAGCAAGAAGCACGGTGTCGCCGAAACGGCCTGTGAGGCAGATGGTACGATGATTACCAGCCTAAAAAGACGCCTGCAACTCTGAGCAGAGCACTTTGAGAAGCAGTTTAACTGGTCATCACCGACAACACCCACCGTCATAAGCTACAATGCTCCTTGGTCTGGAAATATAGCCCCACCAATTGAAGTAGAGGTCAGAAAGGAACTCCAAGTGTTGAAGTGCCATAAGGCACGCAGCCTAGAAAATCTACCCCCGACTCCATTTAAAGACACCGACGAGGTCCTTGTCATGGCTCTGACTGGATCGTTCAGTAAGGTACAGGATAGTGAAAATGCTCCATCAAACTGGAATCAAGCCATCATCGTCCTCATCTTTAAAAAGGGTCGATGTAACACATGAGACAACTACAAGGTTATCAGTTTGCAACCAGTTGCATCTAAAATATTGGCTGCTGTCTTGCTTTGCAGGCGGCGCAAAGCACACAGAGGTTGATCTGTCAGTTTCGTCCAGGCGGTGGATGCGATGGCTATGTGTTCACCCTCCACCAGTTGTAAGAACACTGCCACACGTATTGCAGGCCGACAATCGTTTTGCTCCTTGATATTACGGCTGCCTTCGAATCGTTGGATAGAACTGTGCTCTGGAACTGTCTGTTAGAGAGGGGTGTATGTAAAACTTTTGTTAACATCTTGAAAGCCCTATAGAGAAACACCTCAGGTAAAGTGAGGGCATTGAACCAACCATCATCACTGTTCCCGACCAACAGTGGGGTTAGACACGGCTGTCAGATCTCCCCATTTCTCTTAAACTTTGCCATCGATGACACTCCGGAATCAGCTCTGAAGGACGTGCGTGAAGGCGGCGTAGATTTGCTCCCTGGAGAGACTTGTCGATCTCAAGAATACAGACGATATAGTCTTACTGTGCGATAGCATGCAGGTTTAATCAGTTGGCGATCAGTGTCTGTAAGTATGGTATGTGCTTTGCATCGTCTAAGTACAAAGTACTGTTACAAGATTGGCAGGAGCCTGTACCTGCGCTCACTCTTGCCGGTGAACCGCTTGAAGTTGTTGATAAGTTTGTGTGTCTGAGTAGTTGTGTAAGTGCTGGTGAAGGAGTGACAGATGAGATTTCCAACCGCATCATGAAAGCTAATACGGTATACGTTAACTTGAGCCACTTCTGGAGCCGTCGCGGAGTTAGCCTGGCTGTCAAAGGCCGGGTTTACGATGCTTCGGTGCGTGCTGTCTCACTCTGCGTCTGTGAAACCCGGCCTCTCCGAGCTGAGGATGTCCCGAGACTCTGTGTATCCGACCATCAGTGTCTCAGTAGAACTGCTTGCCTTCGATGGCATAATCGCGTGAGTAATTCTGAGGTTCAGCTGCGTGTTTGGACACAGTGGAGATCATCATTCGTTGAGTGTTGTCGTCTGGAAACACCGGCTTCGGTATGTGTTACGAATATCACCCAGAAGGTTTCCATACAGATCTCTGTTGGCTAGCCCTGAGTTGGGATGGAAAAAGCGGAGTGGTTGTCAGCCCATGACTTGATGTCGTAGGATGAAGTATATTTGTGCTAGGTTAGCATCAGTTGGTAAATCACGACTCCCTGGTTGGAGTCCAAGAGACAGCTCGAATCGGTAGCTCGATACATTATCGGATATGGTAAGTATCGCAATTAATGGCAAACGTGCTGCATTTTCTTTTTTCCCCTTTCTGACAGTGATTCGACGAATGTTGTTTTATTTTATTTTTGATTTCAGCTTGATTCCACACCGTATTTTTTGGTACAGGTATGGGATTTTCAGCATGTGATATCGGTAGCCCAAATCTTGCAGGCCGATCATAGATATCTGGTGTGCGTCGGCAGGGGGTCGAACCCCGGACCATGTGCATGGTCGGCGAGAGTCTTAACCACTGTGTGTTCACTACAGCCACTTCCTTTCCGGATGAAATCCTTTTCCATTTTCTCCTTTTTCACATACTGTTGTTTAATTATTATTGTGTAGTGTCTTCTTGGTGTATATATTGCACCAGGTCCTGTGTTTTAAATAAAATAAAAAGCAGCCTTCGAATTATTCAGCCTACATTACACTTTCAAAAGAAGTTTGTATAACCATTATCACTCCCTTGGCCTATTAAGACCTAAACAACTGATGATATCGAAAAGCCCTATGTTCCTCAAGGAATTAAAGGATATAATAATAATAACTGATGATATCACCATCACTTTCTTATCATACCTAAATCTTATTACACTTCATTAAAACATAGTTTATTTACTTCTCTCACAACCTAGCATTACTTAGTCGGACTAATTGTTTTCCTTAAGGTTTATCCGCTACGTCTACCTGAGCATTGTTCTGTTTAATCATGCTGTTTCCCACTATTCTTGTTATCACAAATAGCTCCAATTTTCACCCTTGTATTAACGGAATAATTGTTATCAATATGACCAATCGCAAAATATTATCATCCTATGAACAAACGACCGTGATTGGTTTATATATGAATATTTATTTGTTGAGCCTGATGACATCTAATTGAAAACAGCACTGTTTGCTTCGTTCTAAGTTCTGTATTGCATTCAAATCAGTGTACACATTAGAGTAGAGCGATTGAAGAGGATCTAATTGGAAAGTAAATATTTCTTCGCTAAATTTGTCTTATAAATAATTTCTCAACCGTCGACGAAAATTCTCTTCTGCAAAGTACAACGGAATTCACTAAGCTGCTTTATTATGCCCAGATCCAAATATCAAACTCCATGGTAAATAATGATATAGGATATAACACACACTGTATGGTACTAATATGATGTTCTATCAAATAAACTTAACAAATATGTAATAATAACCCATAACAGCGTCAAACAACAGAACAAATAAATAGAAACTAGTATTTAATTCATTATTCCATGTTATGAAATTAATCAATGATGTACAGAAAATAAACAAGAAATATGCATGATCAGGTGTAAATTGATAATTGGGTGGGTGAATGAATATACCTAAAGATGCCTAACTGGTTACAATAAAATGTGACGCTTGATTCAATAACAGTCTTAGCTTTAAGTAGCCATGTGAAATATTTACTTAAAATATGGAAATACACTAAGATAGGATAGAACAAATGAAAACAATCATATTTATATATTATCACGCGAAGAAATAGTAAAAAATAATAAAAGCAATCCATATAACACACTAGGCTGAATAGAAAATCTTATCACTATTTTGATGATGTGAACAATGTCTCTTCAAATTTACTTAGAGTTCGTTTTATACTTTCACTGAAAGAAAAACAATAGAATATAATGAATTAGTCAAACACACCTTTGATTAATTTACCACAGACTAAAAAAGTCAAATTAACCTTAAATATATTAAACGGAAACCAACAAAGCTCAAAGTTTTAGTGGAAGCAACAAGATACTACTGACTGGTATGCGTAGTTGCAAACCACCTACATTACTAATTAGTGCTAACCACTCACCTGATCATTGAACACCCACACTATACCAATTGACAATTTCCTTGCACACTCCTCTGGTTCCAACTAGTAAGTGATAAGATTCACCCGGTGATATTGAGACGTATATATATATATATATTGCTACAGAAGCGTCGGTGGTTCAATGATATAATGATCCCCAACCACGCAAGTGGTCTGGGTTCGATTCCCGGCCGATGCACTCCTAAATCTCACTGAACTTACCGGTCTGTAGTAAGGCCAAGAAAGAAAGAAAGATCTGACGCAAGTTTAGTAACCTAACCCCGTAAGAACACCACCGATACTTATACTCCAAAGGTTGGAAACTCTATGTTCTAATTAGAAGAAAAGAATATGTATATATGCTATAGTGCTTAAACGTAATTAAGCTGAAATGCGATATAAAAGAAAGTTTGAGAATATTTAGTTTTATTCAGTTTTACTCACATTTCTTTTTTCAAAGGTTCAAGCTGTGACACTGATTTAGACAGCTCTTCACACTTGGCCATCAGTACGTAGGTAGACTGAGGAAAAAAAGTATGGATCGAATTTTTTTATTAATGATTATGATTGTTTTATAATACAAGTACACAGTGAGCATTTCTTTTATTAAAGGTGAATAAGCATTACAAATGAAATGGATAGGTAGCTGGCATAGTACCTGGTCGATCACATTGGTAGGGATGTATCCATACTTTATCCCTATCCATCAAACGAAATTCTTATCACTTTACCCTCTAGAATTTACACTGCTGCTTTATAAGTTCTGCTTCTTCAACGCAATAGATTGGTATGTTCAGATAATGCAAAAAACGTATATTTATACAACGTATGCTCTTTAGATCTTTCTGTCCCCAAACGGAGATTTTCGTAGAGCTTTAAATTTCTGTGCGCAGGTAATTTTCAGTTACAAATTTGACTGAAATGATATTTTCCAGCAATATGCAAACTCAGTGGCACATCGAATGCTATTATTAATCTATATAACTTGAAGCAAGAATCATTCATTTACACAAGACAGATTATGCTAGACGACTACAGACGCCAAAATTCTCAGTTTTAGCAATACAGCTTGAAGCAATAATTGCTAGTCTGGTCCATTAGATGTTCAGTTTCAGTGGCATACATCCTGAAACATTAGTGGGTCAAGTCTGAACAGTGAACTTTATCAGCAATTAAGAAGCTCGTCAATGATCGATTACGAGTTAGCTTCCAAAAACTAAGACGCCTCAGTATATGAATTACTGGTTGGAAGTCTCCACATCAGTGGGGCCCAATTCCACCACTGAAAATACCGTTTTCAGATGACAACCACGTAAACAATATCCAAGTGTTTTGGCACTTGAACAAATGTGTTAATGTAGACTAAACACCTTATTGCTTCCGTGAAAACATATAGCAACTTCAACAAACGTGGATAAAAGTATAATTATATATATATATATATATATATATATAATGATAAACTATAGTGACCAACCATTTCCATACTAGTTTTAAATATTAAAAATACTAATCTTATATCAATGAACATGATGATTTTATTTAAATTAACAAGGGAAATCAATCAGCAATCAAGAAATTAACCTTTATACATGTACTGATAGTTTCGCATGTATAATCAACAGAATCTGAAAATACATTTGTACAATCTAACGTAAGGCTTGACATCTAAATAAAATTAAAAAAACATCATATGATTTTATGTTAGCATTGTAATTCACAACATGCTGCTAAAAATAACACAGTAATGTTTAATAATGAAGGTAATTACATTAACTATAAAAATATTCTAGCGACTATGGTTGGCCTGATGTTTATTTTCACTTACATTAAGAAGTCCAAACTGACGGTACGCAAACTTTGTCAATTAAGTTATTTCGAAATAAAGAGCAAGCAGATTTTCAGTATCAAAATGTAAGGACCTACTCTGTGCCTAACAGATAAGATAATTTTTGTTCATTTATTAAGAGATTCCTCTGTTTCAATTGGTAATCTGGTTTGTGCAACTGTGAAAACTCTCTGGTCTTCAGAAAAATAGACTTCTATGTGTGTATTTATAGAAGCTAGCAGAAAGTATCTCACTCGGTTCACTGTGACTGCTTCAACAAGTTTATGTAATTAGAATTCATATACGTCTGTGGTTATACTACTATAAACATATGATAAGCACTTGTACGCCACCGTATGGACATTGAAAGTCTTTACTGTGTAAGTTTTATCAACAATTTTTCACTGATTTCCAACTTTGGCATCTTTAACACCATATTTATCCTCTAATTTTCAAACCACTTGAGTATTTCACGTTGATTAATCAAATAAGTTCGAATGTTTACTACTCACTGAAATCAAATAGGTCCTCGAAGCAATTACTTTGGTGGAAAAACCAACGTAAGACATGGTTTTTAACTGCAAAACAATATGGGTATACCACAGTGTATATAGTTTCAAGCACATAATTTTCCATTTGCATTCAATAAGGAACATAGGTGACATCACGGTGCAAGGAGAATGGGAACGCCTTTCTGCATTCCCACTTGAATCATATATGCGTCTTATTAGAGAAAAAGTTCATTCTGGAAATATTACCGTAGACCATTTCGCTTAATCCTTTATGGAAAATGTTAACAATGTAAGTAAAGCCAAACATAATTAGCTTTCGACCTTATACACATCACAATGATCTACTCGAATCAAGTAATAGGAATTTGCAAGTGTCTCACACCCAAATGAATGAATGCGTGTATTTATGGAAAAGAAATGTAATGCAATACTAACGTCAACTAACTTCGCGGTAATAGATGATTCCTCTACTTTATAAATTAAGGGACTTCATACGTATATTATTACTTCCTACAATTTAACCTAATGTTTCATTTTATTCGCACAAGTTATTATTCAGCTTTTATGACCTACCGTTTCTCGAGTAACAAGTAAATATTTTGGCATAATTTATCAGTAGAATAAGTCATCAAGAATGGTAGTTATGAAAACGCATATACTTCTCACCTAGAAAAGTAACCAAATTTCATCAAAGCTTCCTCCTACAAGAATGAAGAGGAGAAACACGAGAGCAGTGAATTCATATCATTCATCTTATGACGTGCTTTGAAGCGTAATTCCTTATACAAACGCAAAACGTCCTCTGACAGCACCTACATTACAAATACGATTAATCAGACAGAGGCAATCGTTAAAGAAAATCGGATATAAAAGGGACACATTGAAACCTAATGAAAAAAATGCATGGTGTTTATCACCAGAAGAGATATAAAATGAAACCTACTGCATCATTTTCATACTTACAGCATAAGCGAATGCTAATGTACAAATAAAGATATCGATTGACGCTGCTGTGGCAGATACCCAGTCTAAATGTCAGTATAAAAAAACCCACAAGCATTTTCTCAACCTCAAAAACATACCACCTGTCAAGAAATTAATTAAATTTAAGTGCTTCTAAAACCGCTGTTCCTGTGTACTATTTAGATCAACTGAAGGCCATACAGTTGGGATTTTCAGTTTAGTAAGATCTTGACTGAAAATTGTTTGTCTCAATTATTGCGGCATCACATGCAGTAACAGCAATAAATAATATATCTGCTACAACCAGAAAATTCCTAACAAAGAAGTAGCATTAAGTTTAATAGATAACACATCAAAAAAGGTTCGAGTAAAATGCACATCAACTCTAAAAAGGTAAAAGAGAGCACAGTTAAACTTAGCGAAATCTGAAAGACTAGCTCTGATTAATCGAAAACAGGATAAAAACGTCATCATCGCAAAGACTGATAAAGGAAACTCGACTGTAGTTATGGATAAATCAATGAAGTCATTAAACACATTGCAACGAGTCCATATGAAGAAGCTAAGAAGCCTGTAGAAACAACAGTGAATAAGATTAAGAAATTTACAGCGGGTTTTATGCGCAAAATGAAGCTGCCGCTGGATGAATTTAAGCGATCTAATTTAATGGCAAAACGTAATAATGCTAGTCGAACATATGGCGTTGTAGAAATACATGAACCAGATTACGCAATTCGACCAATAGTTCAGATAAACCCCCAATTATGAATTATCAAAACACTTTCCTATAATATTATTTCCCATTAGAAGCTGTTCAAATTCTAGGTTAACTAATTCATATGAGATGAAAAGAAACTAAATGACATTCAATTAGAGAACAGTGAAACAATGGTCTGTACTGATATAACTAATCCGTACACTAATACATCAATCAATATGGTCTCAGAAGAAGTTCGATGAGAACTGACTGCTCATCCTGAACGTACTCATAGGACAAAGCCACTCACTGAAGAAATTATTTTAAGAGTTCAATTATGGCTCACGTCTACTATCTTTATATTCCAGGGTAAAATATATAAGCAAACAGGTGTAGCGGTCGGATAATGAATATTCCCAATCAGAGATCTTTCTATGGACAGCTGGGAAAATATTACTCTTAATACATTTAGTCTCACTACAAAGATATGGTGGAGGTATGTGGATGACACTTTCACAAAGACCGCAAAATAAAACGAACAGAGGAAGGTAAACTAGTCACTGGCGTTTATAAAGAGCCAATGCATTCTAATAGATATTTAGACTTCAATTCACCTCATCTGTGAAGGCACGCCTGGTTTAGTGTCTGACAAACCGATCAATAACACTAGGTAGTACATCAAAAATACCTAAATGATGAAATGAAACAGATAGAGGGTGTTGGTGTTCTGTCTGTCTGGATTCAACATAGAACTTGGCACCGAAGTGCACCAGTTCGAGTTGCCACGTTCCAAATAGCACACAGAGGTAGACAAGAAGATGAGTGAAGAGAATCAATACAGTCTGACAAGTATAAGAGTGAAACAGAATGGGTAATGGTAGAAAGGAATATGAAAGATTACAGAGACTGAATACATCTGCGCCATTGACAACGATTTTGAGCCATGTCACCTATTGTCTCCAGCCATTGATTCCTAGAGTCCCGAGGGCCCCAACCCGGGAGTCTGCATCTCCCTACCTAACTCAGTTTAACTGTCAAGGATTTCATGGATTGATGCCATGTTTTTGTTTGGCCACCACTGGCTCTTTTCCAACCTGAACCTATATCAGCTAGCAATGCCCGTCGGGGGAGGCGGTGGTTAGGCATGAGCAGCACGTGACCTAGCCATCTTAGTCTATGTAACTTTATAGCCTCGTCGATTGATTTTCCCTCTTTGCCCAACACTCTACGCCTAACGTCAACATTACTTACCTTGTGAAACCACCTAACGTGCGACAGAGATCGCAGACATCTATGATCGAAAGCAGTCAACCTTTTCATGTCTTTAACTCGTATTGGCCATGTTTCAGAGCCATAAAGAAGGACGGAGCGAACTGATGAGCAGTACACACGTCCCTTGGTTGATAGCCGGATGTCACGCCTACGCCAGAGATGGTGTAAGTCAGCGAAAACAGCTCGAGCTTTTCGGATCCGTGCTGAGATTTCATCGCCAATCAGTCCGTTGGTGCTAATACAACTTCCCAAATAGGTGAAGTGGTCAACATGTTCTATCACTTCACTCCCTATCACTAAGCTAGGAGTTGACGTGGTCCAGTCCTGTAGCAGCATCTTACATTTTGTAGAGGCGAATCGCATGCCAAACATACGAAGATTGCTGCTCAAGGTGTTCAGAAGACTCTGCATTTTGTCAGCATCCTCCCCTAACAGGACTATGTCATCTGCATATTCTAAGTCCATAAGACAATTCCCTGGTAACAAGTCGATTCCTAAGTCATTACGTTCAGTTAAGGATACTTCCATCAGCATATCTATGATGAAGTTAAACAGAAATGGGGAAAGTGGACATCCCTGTCGGACACCACTGGTTGTTACCAATTCAGATGACAATTCCCCATAAGCCCTTACACGACTACGTGAGTTTGAATAGAGTGCCTTGATTAGTGCAATGTATTTTCTTGGCACTCCCTTCACAGTCAGACATTGCCATAGTACCTTTCGATCCACGGAGTCGAAGGCCGCCTTCAAGTCAAGAAATATGACAATTGTTGGACGCCGAAAAGTGTGTCTATGTTCTAGAATCTGTCGGAGAGTGAAGATATGATCTATGCACCCTCTACCTGGTCTAAAGCCTGCTTGATTTTCCCTTGTCTGTTCCTCCCGAGTTCTGCTTAGTCTATGCATGATTACTGAGCCTAGGATTTTAGAGACTATGTTCGTTAGGCTGAACCCCCTATGATTATCACACGAGGACTTGTTTCCCTTCTTGAATATCGGTATAATAAGTGACTTACCCCAGTCTGTTGGAACCGTCTCTGATTCCCAGACGTTGCCTAGTACCTCAGTTAATCTACAAACTAGTATGTCACCCCCATATTTAAACGCCTCCGGAATAATTCCGTCGGGTCCTGCCGCTTTGCCTCGTTTCAAATTACAGATGCCTTTTGTGACCTCACTTACAGACGGCGGACCAGTGTCTATATCCCATTCGGGTGTGTGCTGGATGGCGGGGAGGTTCAGTGTGGCTGTAGGCAAGTTAAATTGTTCCTCAAAGTGTTCTTTCCAGCGGTCAAGGCGTCTATCCTGAGAGCTAATTAGGGAGCCATTTTTCTCAGAAATAGTCTCACTTATGATTTGCCTTCTCCCACCCGTTTCCCTGATGAGTCTAAAGAGTTGCCTAGTGTTGCGTTGTGTTGGTGTTAAATAACTATGCAATATAAAATTCATTAGGAAGACCAAAAACTTCAAAAGCAAAATAAAAATAATAGTGGAACCAATAGTAATAATATAAATAAGAAAGAATATAGGGTATATACAGTTATACCACATCAATAGAGGACATCTGAGACCCTAGGTAGGATTCTTAATAAAGCAGGAATTAGGGTGGCATTCAGACCTACAAACTCACTCAGGGACAAGTTCTGTAGGTTAAAGGAGCCTATTGGCCCAATTAGACAAAATAATATAATTTATAAAATACCTTACAATAACTGTGAGGCCAACTACATAGGTCACATCAGTAGATCGGGGGTAGTCAGGTTCCCAGAACACAATTATTTCGCTAATTGTAGAATGATTGACTCCGCGAAGATAAGTAATTTAGAAAAAAGCTCAGTAACTGCACTATGTGCGTTAACACAACCACACAATAAGGTGTGCAGTTAAACTTCCAGAAAGTAATATGGTTAGGTGGAGAGGGACATTGATTACTGAATATTTGTTCACAGAATCTACACCCAACACACACAATAGGAATGACTCATTGGCGATACCAGAGATATGGGAAATACTACTACCAATCAAATCGAGATGCGAAATAGTGAAATTAAACAAATGACGTTATAAATTTGTGTGAGTAACTTGGTATGATAATGAGCAATAAGTTGTGCTCTAAACGCTATCAGTATATAATACTTTATAACACTGAGGTTTCTACAAAATAGAATTTTAATTTACCGCAGTGCCCTAGTTCTACTCTTACAATGGTTTGCGTGTTAATTTTAAGATGTTTTTCGGTTGCATTTGGTAAGACGTGGAACTGCAATTTCCATTTGAGAGTGATGCAGTTGGAAAGCAAGTATGAGAAAATTTTGAAAATCATATTTTATGATTTAGAGATAACAGAAATGGGTTTACTAGCAAGCTTCGATGCCACTAAAAGCATGTGAGGTGTGTTAACTAAAATTCTCAATCTATTTCTAGGTATACAGTACACGCTGCATGGTACCACTATTAAAAAGGCTACGGAAAACTTGTAACGCCACGAGAGAATCCACATGAACTACATATGAGTACAATAAAGCTGATTTAAATTTTTTTTTACTATATTTAGCATAGTGGATTGAGAGTAACATTGCACGATCTGGAGAGTTTGAAACTTTGGGACTGCAAGTTAGTATCCTACTGTTAAAACGGCAGCGAAATAAACACTTTTGAGTTTCAATGCTTCGGTTAATATTATTAGCTGCTGAGCGGATTCAAAATGTCTTAAAAATTCATCTGTAGACGAAAAATAGAAATTATTCAAAAGGGACTTCATCCTGATTTGTACATCTTATGTTGCTTCATTTGCACGAAACGCTATTCGGCATTAAGAATTACACCAATTCTGCAAGTAAATGCAACGAAATAAAATCGACCGGGTGGCATGTTCGAATTCCATTTTACGGGATCTGTGATGACAGCTTGGAAGGAGGCAGTAATCATTGGTAAATAATATAATACGATATATACAGAGAGAGAGAAAGAAAGAAAGAGAGACAGGCATGGGTAATAATAATAATTCTCAGGAATACATTCCTGTATTTTGAGTATTTAGCCCATTACTCAACGTCATTAAAAACAACCCAGTGAACAAAGCGAACAATCCTCATATTATGGCCACTATAGGTAAAACATTTTCCGTAGTATTTCACTAATATTCTTACATAATTTCCATTAATTAATGGAAATGGATACTAAGTTAACATACTATCGGACAGAATTGGAAAACATGGATCATGGGCTTAAACAGTAGTATGAGAAGATTAGCTTATCTACTCCATTACAAATGTTTCCATTTTGACCATTATTTCGCGAAAATCAACCACTATTCAGACAGTTTTTTACCTTTAGTGAAACAACATTTTCTAACGATATTTTTTTTATTTTTTTTTATTTTTGATTACAGCTTGATTCCACACTGTATTTTTGGTACAAGTATGGAATTTTCAGCGTGGATATCGGTAGCCCAAAATTCGCAGGCCGACCATAGATATCAGGTGTGCGTCGGCGTGGGCTCGAACCCCGGACCATGCGCATGGTCGGGGAGAGTCCTAACCACTGTGCCACCGACGCACCACTACCTTCCCATTTTCAGATATATGTAAGCGCAATCTTAACCATTATGTTACCAATCTTGTCAACTGCCCAGAATCGTGACAATTTTAACCGTTACTACACCATTTTTCGTAAATTATACCCCAAATGAATCTATCCACAAAATGACTTATAATTTAGGGAGACGAATTTCCAGGAAGAATTGAACCACATACCTGACTTAATGAAGATTTTAATGATGCGAGTAAAACATCTATCCGGCGAACTACAGCCTCTGCATCCTTCTCCAACTTTGGCAAAATTGACAGGTGTAACTCCACCATTGAATTAACGCTGTTCTCCAATATCCAATATCCTGATTACTAGCTAGTATAAACCAGTGATTTCTTTGAGCTCGCTTCTTGATTGTGAGGTAGAGGTTCCAGATCTTCGGTGAGCTTCTGCGTAGTAAGTCCCGACACTCGACTGCTTTAGCTCTGGTAGACTCCAGGAGGAGTGGTGCGGGGATTGGTCGAGATGTGGTTTGTAGTATGCAGTATGTTAGGACTGTATTGCTGCCGTGAATGGAGTTTGACCTAACTCCCGTTGGTCATTCGGTGTAGTCATAAAAGCAGAATAGTAATAATAATAATAATAATAGGTTGTAGTGTAGATAATATAGGTTGAGATAAGTGGAATAATAAAGGTGACCTAAGGAAAAGATAGAGTAAGTGAGAGAAGGCAGAATAGGTCGTGGGGATTTAGTTTGTACGCTTATCCATTGACAGTGTGGTTTCAAATTTTATGAGGATAAGCCATTGAGACACAAACCTTGCATTTCTGCATGATTGTCTAGCTTCCGCTTAAAAATCTCCACAGATGGCGCTGTAGTCACGGCCGCCGGTAAAGCGTTCCAGAGACGGCAAACACGAAGCGAAAAGAAATGTGATCGCACTCGAGTCTTTGGTCTCTGGTGTGCTATCCTTAGCGGGTTACCTCGTGGAAGCCTATAATCGCTTAATGGCAGGATGCTTTTATTTGGGTGGGCCTGGTCATTTAGGATCTTGTAGACGGTGATGAGGTCTCCCCTGTGCCTACGGTAACTAAGTGTGAAAAGACCTAATTTCTTTAGTCTTTCCTCATATGATTTGTTGCGGAGGCCGATCACCCATTTTGTCGCTCGTCTCTGGACACTTTCTAGAATGTTAGCATCCCTTTTGAGTAGCGGAGGTGCAATGATATTATGCACCTCAAGGTGTGGCCTCACATATGCCTTGTATAGCCTTAAGAACAGTTCGGGAGTGAGAGCTCCCAGCTGCCTGTGCATAAAGTGTAATGTTGCGTAGGCTTTGGCGACGTCCCTCGAGTAATTTCCACTGGTGTCTAGCTTTTCTGTTAGAATAAGACCTAGATCACGCTCTGATGGAACACAACTCAAGTTCTGGCCACCAAGGGTGTAATTTACACTCTGTGACCTGCCGGAATGAAGCTGCACTACTTTGCACTTCTTTAGATTGAAAGGCATTCCGTTAGCCAAAGCCCAATTTCCCAGAGTTTGCAGGTCAGCCTGCAATCTATCTGAGTCTTCCGATGAGTTTATTGCTCTCCAAATCTTTACGTCGTCAGCGTAAAGAAGCGCAGAGCAGTTTAGTTGGGGGGGCAGGTCATTGATAAAAATCAAAAACATCAACGGCCCTAGGATAGAACCCTGAGGAACCCCTGATGCCGAGGTGTGCCAAGATGATCGGATGCGGTTGACTTTGGTGCAGAATTCTCTCTCGCCTAAGTAATCTGTCAGCCATGCGAGAAGTGCTCCAGAAACTCCCGCCTTGCCTATTTTGTGAAGGAGCAGACCATGGTGAACTGTGTCGAATGCTTTCGCAAAGTCGAGAAAGATCACGTGGGCTGGTACCTTTTTGTCCCAGGATAGTGTCCAATCGTTCCAGGCTAGTAGAAGATTCGTCACGCAGGATCTTCCCCTCCTGAAACCGTGCTGTGCTTCGTGAAGAAGGTTAGTCCCATCGAAGTATTTTCTCATGTGGTCGTCAATGAGACTTTCCAATATCTTCGATACCACTGGAAGTAGAGCAACTGGTCTGTAACTGGTCACATTCTGCCGGTCACCACCCTTGAAGATAGGGGATAGGATTGCACGTTTCCATTCACATGGAAGTTTCCCTACATCAAGGGAGTGTTGGAACAGATCACTTAGGGGTTGACAGAGACTTTCTGAACACTGCTTCAGGACAGATGGTCTGATGCCATCACAACCTGGAGACTTTCCCGAAGCCAACCTTCCCAATTTTGCAAGTACCATAGCCGGGGTAATTTGAAATGTCCCCAGCAGGTTTTCGTGTGTTGGTTCTGCGATGTAATCTGGATGTTCTGTAGGGGTAATATCCTCGTTACTATTTAGTTGCCTGTGAAAGGCTAGGCTGAATGTCTCTGCCATTTCAAGACTAGTAAGAGATTTCCCATCAGAACCCACTAGATTGCATGCTCCCTGGTTGGTCGGTTTTCTTTCGGCCATAAACCTGTATAGGCTTTTGGGGTTCACGAGAAGCTTATTGGCGAGGTCTCCCTGAAATGTCCTTCTATCGCTCCGGACTCGTATGTTACATCGATTCCTGAGTTCAAGGTACACTTCATATTCGGGTTGACTCTTCGATCGTCGCCACGCGAACCAGGCTTTACGCTTTGCCTGCAGAAGGCGTTGTGTCCCTCTTTTCAGCCATGATCGTTGCTTCCTAGCTTTTGGTGAGACTAAAGGAACAGTGTCTGAGACCGCCTGGTGAATGATTTCCTTTACCACTCTCCAGTGTTCTTCTACTGTTAGCTCTGTCCATTTTTTAGGCCAGTTTGCTTCAGACAGAAGTCTTCGCATTTTGGTGTAGTTGGCTTTGTTATAACACAGATAGGGCTGTGTATTGTCCCACTGTAAGCGCTCGCGGAGGACTATGTCGAATACTATGACCGCGTGGTCACTACTACCTATGGGAGTCGTGATCTGAACGTTTTCCACTAGTAGCTGGTCACTAGTGAGCACGTAATCCAGTCTAGAAGACTTCCCATCAGGGCCCCATCTAGTATCCATCTTGACATTTTCAGTGAATCCAGCCTTCCTGATGGTATGCAGCAGATTTCGATCAAATCTATCATGGGCTTTTCCCGACACCAAGTTAAGAGATGGGGCATTGAAGTCACCAGCTATGACAATTTGATCATAACCCATGTCTTGAGTTGCTGAGATTGTATTTAGCAGTACCTGGTTGTGGTCTGCTCCACATGAAGGTGATCGATAAATGCTGCCCACTAGATATTTGCAGTACCCAACGGTGAAGTGGCACCATATGGAGTCAGGGAGCTCTGTGAGGGGAGGGTCCGTCGCGTGAACACATCTGAGCTGTTTGTCGACGTATATGGCGACTCCACCTCCTTCTTTCAGGTCCCTATCTCGCCTGACTAGGACCATATCATTTATACTGACTTCGCTGTCTGCCACCGTAGGGGTTAGCCAGGTTTCCGTCAGTATTATGATTTTGGAGTTTAGTTGTGATTGTAGGTGTCTAAGTTCAGCTATTTTGCCTCTTAGCCCTCTCACATTACTATACAGGCAACTGGTAGTCAGTCTCACCACTTCCCCGTATTGGGGGGTAGTTGACTTGATATTGGCTATCGGTTGAGGAGTTATCCTACGAACTAGTTGGCCGATTCCCCAGGAACCGGCCTGTTGGCGTTTTTTTCTTCTAGTTCAGTTGGAGCACTCGGATGACACTGGCTATCATCGTCCGTGCTGCACCGCTGTAGTGTGACTAGGGGTTGAGGATTTTCTTTTACTACGCTTTGTTCTCTCCTTTGAGTGCGAGGCCGGCTCTCGCAGCAGCGAATGTGTTTGCTGACCTTGTCCTTGGTCTCGTACCATCTATGGAGAGCGGTATTCAACTGGTCTTGGGAGCTGAACTTGACAGCTAACAGACGTGGCGAGTTAATTGACATAAGATGAGTGGGTCGAGGCAGTCTATAAATAGAGACAGCCCCTGAACTTCCCAGGGCCATCTGGGATGCTAACCATCTCCATTGTTGTACATCATGACAATGCTTTTCGCAGGCGTTCCCAGTTACCAGTTCGGGAATGCCATGCACAACCATGGAGGCAGAAGGAATGAGCTCTGGCGACTCCCTCGCCATTTGTCTTTCCTTCCACGGCCTGTCTGGCTTAACACGTATGTTACAGGCCCTCCCTATAGAAAGGACTTGAGAAGCCAGTAACACTTTTTCAACATCCTCGGTAGAGCTCAATGTTACCCTCAGTGGGGATGGTTTGCCTTCAGGTGCAGCAGTGCCCCTATACAATCTGCATAGATTTACTGGTTGGATGTCCAAACCCAGTGTGCTACTTAAGATGGACCACTGTTCCTGATCAAATAGGGCCCTATCTTTCAGCAGACTACTGCTACAGTCTGGTACATTAAAGAGGATTACACAATTTGATCTGCTAACCGTGGGCTTGGGCTCGGTCCTCGCACGTTTGTGATCACCTTTAAGACCGTTTTGGTTTGACTGGTGCGACTGGGTATTTTTATGTGTCTCAGTGCTATAGCCAGCATTACTGATAGACGGTTGGGGTCTTTTTCCAACGACGGAAACCCGTGGTTCTCCAGCCTCTGTGTCTGGAGCGGTTATGGCAAGAGTTACAAGTTTAACCGGTGAGGATTTTGGTATCCCCGGTTTACGCGCGTTTGTACTAACTTCCGGATTGGTGGGGGTCGAGCTTTTCACCTTTTTCCCCGCTACTTCTGTGCCATCTTTAGTTTTCAAAGGACTACGCGAGGCTACATCAGGACGGCAACTCGGGCATATGTACCAGAACCATTGGCATGGGTTTTTACGCATAAAGTCATAATATGCTTTTGGTACCCCACTGTCGCATCTGCAATGCACCCATCGGTTGCAAAAGTTACATTCGAAGGCAGAGTCTGCTTGTTCGACAACAGAAGCACAGACCTTGCAGTCGTCTGTCTTCTTGGGGAGCGTTCTTGTCGTCTTGCGACGTCGTGAACGTTTCTTTTTGGCCTTCCTATTTGTTTCATGGTCTACCATGGGGATGGGTGTTATGAAGTTCTCACTTAGTGCAATTTTCCCACTCGGATCTGTTAACCTAGTCGTGTTAACAGGGGTGGAGCCACATCCACTTGGCTGACTTTGCACAGCTTCACTGTAGGACTGTGGCGACATGGGTAATCTGTACGAGCTGGGAATATTAGCCCTGGTCTTCAGGACCGGTATGCGTGAGTCCATCACCTTCTCCTGTTTGCCTAGTTTGGCTGAAGCCCTGGTAACTACAGAGTATGATGTCCCATTACTTATTTTAGGTTGAGAATCTATTGTCATTTTACTCCTAAATTAATACTGGTGATTAAATAATAAGAGACTGTTATTTTGTCCAATAGACTTACAGCAAAAGACAATAGAGAGCGCAGAAAAGAAGGATAAAGTATGTAAGTAAAAGCTTTAGACTTTACCTGTAACTTTCGGGTTATTCGGTTTCACAGCAATCACGTAACAGACCCACAAGTCCTGTATATTTGAAAGAGTGAGGAGGGTGTTGCTACAGAAGTAGCACCTGAAGCTTTGGCAGTAGTTCGAGACAGCGGGAAGTACCACACACAGGCTCGGTGAGGAAGAAATGGTTGAATAAAAATTCGCCGGATAGGAAGATCAGGTTTCCCAAACGAATAATTCACAAAATTGGATATTTCTGGTTAGAGAGGAGAAGCACGTCTTATTCAAGGAGCGCGCGTTTCTGACTTAAACTGACTTAAACTTAGTATGCAGTATGTTAGGACTGTGTTGCTGCCGTGAATGTAGTTTGACCTGACTCCCGTTGGTCATTCGGTGTAGTCATAAAAGCAGAATAGTAATAATAATAATAATAATAGGTTGTAGTGTAGATAACATGGGTTGAGATAAGTGAAATAATAAAGGTGACCTAAGGAAAAGATAGAGTAGTCGGTACAGTGGGAGAAGGCAGAATAGGTCGTTGGGATTTAGTTTGTGTGCTTATCCATTCACAGTGTGGTTTTAAGTTTTACGAGGATAAGCCATTGAGACACAAACCTTGCATTTCTGCATGATTGTCTAGCTTCCGCTTAAAAATCTCCACAGATGACGCTGTAGTCACGGTCGCCGGTAAAGCGTTCCAGAGACGGCAAACTCGAAGCAAAAAGAAATGTGATCGCACTCGAGTCTTTGGTCTCTGGTGTGCTATCCTTAGCGGGTTACCTCGTGGAAGCTTATAATCGCTTAATGGCAGGATGCCTTTATTTGGGTGGGCCTGGTCATTTAAGATCTTGTAGACGGTGATGAGGTCTCCCCTGTGCCTACGGTAACTAAGTGTGAAAAGACCTAATTTCTTTAGTCGTTCCTCGTATGATTTGTTGTGGAGGCCGATCACATATTGTGTCACTCGTCTCTGGACACTTTCTAGAATGTTAGCATCCCTTTTGAGTAGCGGAGGTGCAATGATATTATGCACCTCAAGGTGTGGCCTCACATATGCCTTGTATAGCCTTAAGAACAGTTCGGGAGTAAGAGCCCCCTGCTGCCTATGTGTAAAGCGAAAAGTTGCGTAGGCTTTGGCGACATCCCTCACGTAATTTCCACTAGCGTCTAGTTTTTCTGTTAGAATGAGGCCTAGATCGCGTTCTGATGGAACACAACTCAAGATAATAATAATATATATATTCTCATATAAACATATAAATTTACATGAAAATGCATGCCAGCAAGGGTGTAATTTACACTCTGTGACCTGCCGGGATGAAGCTGCGCTGCTTTGCACTTCTTTAGGTTGAAAGGCATTCCGTTAGCCAGAGCCCAGTCTCCTAGAGTTTGCAGGTCAGCCTGGAATCTATCCGGCGCAGTACAGCCTCTGCATCCTTCTCCAACTTCGGCAAAATTGACAGGTGTAACTCCATCATTGAATTAACGCTGTTCTGCTCCAACACCAAACAGTAGTTGATTTAGGTGCAAAGATCGAGGATTGCATGCCTCGAACACAGATACTTGAGGACTCGGATACCGGCACAATGTAACTAAATTAGATGCAATTATGCATATACGAAATAACTTTGATCAACCAATATATTGAGATGTAGACAATGACAAATTCCGTAACTGAGATGCAGTTATTCTGCCTTCATTCTTGGGATAATATCTGTTAATGTAGTTGAAGATTGAACGATCAATTCTTGGTTGTTTGCTCAAAACCAACTTCCCCAATTTTCGCGGAGGCATCAATACGACAGTCAACTTCTCATCGGTCGCTGTTCAGAAAGAAGTCAGGAGACAACCGTCAGAAGTAATATTGTGATTTATTATTGTAATATTTGTTCACAGACCTTAGTTGTAACATTGTTTATATGTTGGTGTAACAATAAAGAATCCTCGAGTCACCAGTTGGTGTTTTGGTTTTTTCGTCCGTTATTACTAAATGTTTCTGGGAAACTTCGAGGAACAGCGTGAGCCCGAGCGTAGCAAGAGCTGGGCATTAACGGTTTACGAGACGTGACTGACAATATCTCTACATTAAGAACAACAGATATTCTGATATCTTTACGAATCTATGGGGAAATGTCGACAGCCTAATGTGAACGAATTTCGCACAAATCCATGCTGATATTACACATGGGCGTATAATTCGAGATTCAATATGTCAGTGACCAGCGAATTCTGTCGCCAAATGCAGCGCAGCCAATTCTGACTACCTTCGTTTTCTTTTTCTGAAGTCATCAAGGGGTATTATACTGGTTTAAAGTAGAGTTTTCTAAACGTGAAAAAGGTGACTCATGAAAGTTGTATATTTTTTGTTATCACCAGGGCAGTACAAGATTCACCACTGTCTCTTTCTGCATCCATAGATTTGGTTTAAGTCGTTTGATGGCAATTGCTTCAGCAAAGCGTAGTAAGCTAGGTTTCTTTTGCTTGCTGATTATTTTGAACGACTCCAGGTTGTCTACAATATGACCAGTGTCCAATAGATGACAAGCAATCGCACTGCTTAATGCTTGTGGACCTTTCAATATCAGGTTCTTTGGTATGTGTTCATAAATGTGGACACTAACCCTTCTCTCTTTTCTTCCAATGTATGTGATTTGGCACGTACATATTTCCAACAACTAGTTGTTTGATAAACACATACAAACTTGGCGGCTGGATATGTATTTTTTCAGGGCATCATTCAGTCTGCATCTTATTCTACTAGCAGTATCATCACCTTTGAATGCAAGCTGCAGAAAGATAGGCTTCTATGCTTATCGATGAACTTTTGTGGGTAGCCGTTGTCACGTAGGCATTTCTCCACAATGGATAGATCTTCCTCAATCTTTTCTTTTGAACACAGTTTCCTCACACGATGAAATAATGTTCTCACTAATACCTTTTTGTAACTTGTAGGGCAGAAGCTTTTGAAGTTAATATAAACCGCCCTCCAGGTCTCTTTTCGGTATATACATATATATTATGATCTCATTGGATGCACAAGTCAAGAAAATGGAACTTCTCCTCTTTTTCATACTCCATTGTAAACTTAATATTAGAGTGGGCGCTGTTCAAGACTTCTAATACTTGAGATGCATCATTGAAAGAATTACAAATAACGAAGGTGTCATCGACATACCTGATTTAGCAGCTTGTCTGACTGATTGCGGATTTTAACCTTGTTTGTTCTAGACAACCCATAAAAATATCTGCCGGAATCGGACCCACGGGGCTTCCCACGGCGTCTCCGTCAATTTGGCGGTATAGAGTGTTGTTGAACTGGAACTGTACGTCTTTGAGTTCGTTCTTGGGCAGAGGGAGAAGTTCGGCATCTTGACATTTAATTTGTATTGTTTCCTCCAATGGGATCTTTGTAAACAGTGAAGACATGTCGAAAGACACCATAAATTTATTTGAGGTGTTTAGTTGTTTTAGCAGGCGACTTCAATGTCCAAGTAGGGAAGTTGTGCCAGACTGAGAAGTATGTAGGTGGTACGTATGGGGTTCCCTGCCGACGAACCGACAACAGTGATCATCCACTACAGCTTTGCTCAGAAAATCATTTGTTCCTAATCAATACTAACTTAAGGCATAATGAGAGGCTCTGCGTAACCTGGCGACCTCCGTCGCCAAATCAACGCTGGACTCAGATAGACCACATAGCCATAGGGTATCGTTGGCGAGGGTCAGTAGAAGACTGTGGCTCCTTCTGGAACACGTGCATAGACTCTGGTCATGTTATGGTTCGCGCACGTCGATGCTTACGACTAAACGGATATAAGAAATCGATGGCAGCGAAACAGTTACGTCCACAACTGGATCGAGACACTGAGTCCCTATTTAAGTGGAAAACAGCGAAACGAGTGTCTGAGGTCGACAGCGGGACTTCCTCTGAGGTAGCCTGGCACAACATACAGTCAGCTGTAGACACAGCTGTAAAAGCTGTTAATAAGCTGAAACCGAAAGTTAATAAGAGCCATTGGATATGTACCACCTTATTCAAACTGATTCACGCAAGAAGACTGATTCCGGAAAGCTCCGAATTCAATGAGGAGCGAAAGCTACTCAAACGAAAACTAACAAGAAGCCTTCGCAACGACCGTGAACAGTGGTGGGCGACAAAGGCGAAAGAGATGGAAAACGCATCGGCGATAGGCAACACCAGACAACTCTTTAGACTCATCAGGGAAACGGGTGGGAGAAGGCAAATCATAAGTGAGACTATTTCTGAGAAAAATGGCTCCCTAATTAGCTCTCAGGATAGACGCCTTGACCGCTGGAAAGAACACTTTGAGGAACAATTTAACTTGCCTACAGCCACACTGAACCTCCCCGCCATCCAGCACACACCCGAATGGGATATAGACACTGGTCCGCCGTCTGTAAGTGAGGTCACAAAAGGCATCTGTAATTTGAAACGAGGCAAAGCAGCAGGACCTGAGGTATTTAAGTAAGGTGGAGACAGTTTACTGTCTGCATTAACTTAGGTACTGGGAAGCGTCTTGGAATCAGAGGAAGTCCCATCAGGTTGGTGTAAGCCACTGATTATCCCCATATACAAGAAGGGAGACAAGTCTTCCTGTGATAATCACAGAGGGATTAGCTTGACTAATATAGTATCTAAATTCCTAGTCTCAATAATCATGCGTAGACTAAGTGGTGCTCGGGAGGCACTAAGACGAGGGAGCCAGGCAGGCTTTGGACCAGGAAGAGGGTGTATTGATCATATAGACACTGAGCCGATGTGTCTTCCCGAAGATGGGCTTTCATCATCCCCCGTTATTTCGCCTCTGCGATTCCAGATAAGATTAATTTTGTTTCATGTTTTTTGTATCCAATATTTTTTTGGATATAAGTATAAATCTTTGGCACTGTGGTAGACCATAACTCCATTATGGATAAGATTTCATTGTGACAAATTACCCAGTGAGCAATAGTTTGTGCTCAAAACGTCATCAGTTAATATTAGTGTACTACACTAGAAGGATTTTTCTGGGACTTTGAAGTTTCTGTAGCAGTTTGATTGATTTTCTGGGGTACAGTAGCTAACCTATGCTCAACCTTAGCTCTTTCTCCTGGCTTAATACTGGCTAGTAAACTAGTGAATTGTTAGGCTTAATTCACTAGAATAGCGCTGATTAAAGCGAAGTTGTAGAATGAGAAAGCATTTGAATAAATAAGTGAGCATATTATCAGGTGATTTTCTAGGCCTAGCTTTATTATCTGAGCGCTCACCTAAACAACAACCTAAGTTAAATATTACTGATTTTTTTGGATGAGTAGTTGCATACTCATATCAGCCAGTAGTGCTTGCTAGTCAAATGGAGGTGATCTAAACCATTGGATGGCCGTTTCGCAAGTTAAGCATCGAGCTTATCAATGGTATACTCGGTTTGGTTCAGCTCAGACAGCCGAATGAATTCAAACCACTCGATTTTTGGCTAGCTACTTCGGCGAACTGGTAATACCTTGAATTAAAGCCTGTTGTGCTAAAGATTTCATGATAACCATTTATTGTATCAAGCAGACCAATTATTGTGATTTGAATAACTTGCTTTGCAAAAGAAACTACAGCAAAATGTCACCACTTGAACTATGTAAATTACAAATTGTGAATTCAATTTAACAGTATAGGTTCTCTCACGTAACACTTACTTAAGGCATTTTATCAATCTACTATCCATAATTGCATATATATATATATATATTCTTTTCCTCTTGTTTCTTTCAACAGTGTTAATCTCAGTCAGTCAGAAGAGTGTACTACTACATCAAATAATACAATATCTCATGGATTTGTCAAGCCTAATGCTAATAGTGAGTATGTTTATGTGCTTCCTTCCTCTCCTCTGTCAGCCTTTACTTTAAGACCTAATGTTTTAAATGTTTACCGATCACTCGTGCCTTTAGGCACTTATTATTTTATGTAGTAGCCAGTGAGCACTGCGCGCCTGTTCCCTCCTAGTTTGTGGCTCTGAGAACGTACACATCCAAGGACCCACTGGGAATCCCATGTGTAACATTCCGGTTACGAGGTCAAGCTCGTTGGTCATTGGAATATAACTCGATTCTTCTTCATGGTCGTCCTATGATATATGTTGAGTGTTTATTTCGCAGTTTTTAATTTGTGGGGAAATTGTATTTACTGATGTTTTATAGTATTTCGTCCTGATAAATGCTGTCGTCTTGACACTCGGTTTATAACTTCAGTGCTGAATGTTCTTAAATGCACTCGTCTGTAGTCGGTTAACACCATCCATGTAAGAAAGAGGAAGTATAGTTGGAACTCCATATTATTTATCCGCGTTCCTTTAAAAAGGTCCTTGTGAGAATATATGTATTCAGGGAACTGGTATGCTTATTAACATCTAAGCTCCAAACAAACACTTCGGATGGAGAGGCAAAAGAAAATTACTCATCACCACCACTCTCAATCACCAACAGAATTAGTCGGCGATGCCTGATTTCGCCACTTTCCACTAACCTTATTAATGGTGACGTCATGGGAACACATGTAGAGGATTTGTGATTGTCATAGAGATATGCTACGTAGAGAGAAACTATTTGACCCTGAACATGTAGACGAGTTCGTCCTACTGTTCGATAGAATTCAGACTGCCCAAACCACACGTTGTCGATTGATGTCTATGAACACACTGGCCTAAGCGCACAGTAGTATTGCAAGATTGTCAGGGAACTGCGAACTCTCTCACCTATCACCCGGAGCAATCCAATCGGTGGTTAGGACTCTCGCCGACCATGCACATGGTCCGAGTTTCGATCCCCTGCCGACGCACATCTGATATCAATGGTCGGCCTGCAAAATTTGGGTTTCCGAAATCTATGCTGAAAATTCCATACTTGTACCAAAAATACAGTGTGGAATCAAGCTGTAATCAAAAATAAAACAAATAAATAAGTCCATATGTCTTCACCCGACCGATAGCTGCTACCTTGACGTGGAGGTCGCGATGACCCAACAAGCTACACTGGCTGGAACCAATGTTCCCGCAAATCCTACCATGCCAGGAAGGTTGTTAGGATAGCGATTAGACTAAACCCGACCGAAAGCTGCTACCTTGACGTGGTGGTCGGGCTTGAACACCGCAATGACCTAATCAAGCTATACTGGCTGAGACTTATGTCACCTGGGGTCCTACCATGCCAGAAAGGTTGTTTGGATAGCGGTTAAAACAAAAAGCAGCTACCCAACCCACCATTATGATACAAACAAAATTTCATGCCGGATCGGCCGTAGCCCGGATTAACAACGACCGCGCTTCCTGCTGCCGTGTCACAGGACAGAAGTGATAAATATGCTACTGAGACACAACAAACAATAAAGAACAAACAAAAAACAGGATGCGTGTTACCGGCCTCAAGTAGTTGTCCCCTGAGCTCGAAGGTCACGCAACCAATAATCATTTGTTTCTTGTAAGCACTAACTTCAAACACAAGGAGAGACACTGTTTGACCTGGCGACCCCCATCATCAAACCAACGCTGGACACAAATAGACCACATAATAATAAGCTATCGTTGGCGTGGGTCGGTAGGAGATTGTCGCTCCTTCTGGAAAACGTGTGTAGATACCGATCACGCATTCGTCTGCGCTCGTGTGTGCCTACGACTAAATGGACGTAGGAAACAGCTGGCGGTAAAACCATCACGTCCCCAGCTCGATCAGGAAACTAAATCCCTATTTGAGGAAGAACTAGCTAAACACATATCTGAGTTTGACAGCTGTGCTCACTCTGAAGAAGCCTGGAAGAATATCCAGTCAGTCATAGATACAGCTGTAAAAGCTGTGAATAAGGTGAATCCAAAGGTGAGTAAAAACCACTGGATTTCGACTGCCTCATCCGAACTGATAGATGCTAGAAGACTGATTCCGGAAAGCTCCGAATTCAATGAGGAGCGAAAGCTACTCAAACGAAAACTTACAAGAAGCCTCCGCAACGACCGTGAACAGTGGTGGGCGACAAAGGCGAAAGAGATGGAAAACGCATCGGCGATAGGCAACACTAGACAACTCTTTAGACTCATCAGGGAAACGGGTGGGAGAAGGCAAATCATAAGTGAGACTATTTCTGAGAAAAATGGCTCCCTAATTAGCTCTCAGGATAGACGCCTTGACCGCTGGAAAGAACACTTTGAGGAACAATTTAACTTGCCTACAGCCACACTGAACCTCCCCGCCATCCAGCACACACCCGAATGGGATATAGACACTGGTCCGCCGTCTGTAAGTGAGGTCACAAAAGCTATCTGTAATTTGAAACGAGGCAAAGCGGCAGGACCCGACGGAATTATTTCGGAGGCGTTTAAATATGGGGGTGACATACTAGTTTGTAGATTAACTGAGGTACTAGGCAACGTCTGGGAATCAGAGACGGTTCCAACAGACTGGGGTAAGTCACTTATTATACCGATATTCAAGAATGGAAACAAGTCCTCGTGTGATAATCATAGGGGGATCAGCCTAACGAACATAGTCTCTAAAATCCTAGGCTCAGTAATCATGCATAGACTAAGCAGAACTCGGGAGGAACAGACAAGGGAAAATCAAGCAGGCTTTAGACCAGGTAGAGGGTGCATAGATCATATCTTCACTCTCCGACAGATTCTAGAACATAGACACACTTTTCGGCGTCCAACAATTGTCATATTTCTTGACTTGAAGGCGGCCTTCGACTTCGTGGATCGAAAGGTACTATGGCAATGTCTGACTGTGAAGGGAGTGCCAAGAAAATACATTCCACTAATCAAGGCACTCTATTCAAACTCACGTGGTCGTGTAAGGGCTTACGGCGAGTTGTCATCTGAAGTGATGACGACTAATGGTGTCCGTCAAGGATGCCCACTATTCCCATTTCTATTCAATTTCACTATAGATGTACGGATGGAATTGACCCTAACTGACTTCAGACACACAGGGATCGATGTGTTACCATTGAATAATCTCGCTGACTTAGAAACAGGCAGACGATATAGTCCTTCTAGACGAAGACGCTGACAAAATGCAGAGTCTTCTGAACGCCTTGAAGGAGAGCAATCTACGAATGTTTGACATGCGATTCGCTCCCGCCAAATGCAAGATGATGTTACAAGACTGGACTGCAGCGACTCCTAGATTAAAACTAGGGAGTGAAGTGGTAGAGCACGTTGACCGCTTCACTTATTTGGGAAGTACCATCAGCCAGTAACGACGGGTTGATCTCTGACGAAATCTCAGCACGGATACAGAAGGCTAGTTTCGCATGTGCCATTTTCCGCTGTCTCTGGCGTAGACGTGATATCCGACTATCGACGAAAGGGCGAGTGTACTGCTCAGAACTCCGCTCCGTCCACCTTTATAGCTGCGAGACGTGGCCATTGAGAGTGGAAGACATGAAAAGGCTGGCTGTCTTTGATCGTAGGTGCCTGCGTTCTATCTCCCGTGTGCAGTGGTATAATAAGGTGAGCAAGTTTGAGGTAAGGCATTGAGTGCTAGATAAGGAGGTGAAATCAATCGACGAGGTTGTGAAATTACATCGACTGAGATGGTTAAGACATATGTTACATATGCCTAGCTTTCGATCGCCTTCCTCGACGAGCAGTGTTAGGAGACATATGTCAGGCTGGAAAAGAGCTAGTGGCGGTCAAACCAAAACATGGCTGCACCAGTCAATGAAATCCACGACAGTTAGTCTAAGCCACGTAGGGAGGTGTAGACGTCCTGGTTGTGGTCCCGGGATGGTAAAAGCAGATGATTGGAAACAATTGGTGATATGGCTCAAAATCGTTCTCAGTGGCTGGGTCAGATGCATCCACTCCTTGTGACTTGTGATTTCCAATGAAACTATATTGTTCTTCGTTATTAATATTCCCTAGTCTCACACCTCTGTTTACTGTCTCTATGTGGCATTTCTTCTCTTGCTTTGTGTGCTACATGGAGTGTGACGACTTGAACTTCCGCACATCGGTGCAAAGTTCTATGTCGAAAACAGACAGACCGTGTGTCTTCATAGCTGTGTGTCCATCGGTAATGTGACGAATCAAAATGTCCAGCTGTATAGAAAAGGCAAGAACTGCATACACCAGTCTGGGTCACTCGTGAAACCATCACAAATTTAGCTTGACCTGGCTGGTTCCTAACGCTTCGATATGGGTGCGCTTTTGCTGGCCCCATCTGCTGTAACTGTGTGCTCAGCCATCGCTGTCCTGGGTGGACCGATTGAACGTTTGGAAGCAGAAATTCATACATTTTAGTCACACTGTAGAAAAATGAGTACTCACTTTTAACCAACCTCTACTAGTATCATACAACCAGAAGAAGACTTTTAGGCAGGATTCATAATTAAAGTTAGTAGGGATCATGGCGTGACTGTCTGCTGTACACCTTACGAACGGCAGTACAAACGAGACCAAAGGAAATACTGATTACTGTGTTTTTTTGTTCAGCGAAGGAATTTCTTTTCAACGACTCCATCTTCAAGCTGTACAGTCGTATTTATATTACAGAAAAAGGTTATTAAGTGGCACTAAATAATTGCTCAGTCAACATACATATATATGTGATAAGAATAACGATAATTAAGATGTTAAGAGGGGTAGAGTTGAAGTGGATATATTACAAAATGTTTTAAAAATGTCAAGTGTTGTCTAAAAATTTTAAAAATTAGGAGTCGGGTTACGATAAGAATGAAGATGTGAAGTGAAATGGTAAAATAAAGTAAAACTAGAAAGAACGTTACTATGACCAAGGTAAAGAAAGGGGTTTGACAAAACGCTTTTGAACACATAATTTAGGTTTCTGTTCATGTGTAGTTAAAACTTCGGCTGTGCATGAGTGAAAACAAACGTAAACTTTTGGATCGATTCGATTTTGCTATGTAGATAACTTTGAAGGATGAATCACGTGGGGCTAAATGACCAGGCTCTAACAGGTGATCACAAATAGACGACTTTGCAGTTCTACGTTCGCCTTTCATTAACCAAACGGATAGTGTTCAGCTACACGTTTTGGAGAGTACGCTTACAACGTCCAATATGATCAGCTCCACAGGGGCAGTTAAAAGAGTAATTGCACATAGATGTGGACAAAAGCGGTAATCTATCCTTGACGCATTGTCTAATCATATTTTGGCTGGTAAAAACTAGTTGTAACTATGTTATCGATTCTCCAGTCACGTTGTATTTCCCTGTTGGAAAGTAAACAAGATCTGTAGTCTCAGTTCAATATCCTTTTCAGCAGATTTTATTATGAGTTCTTTGGAATGTATTCGCCAGTCGTACTCTTCGTGTACTTTCTCCTTCAAATTTATGCCAAAGACCTATTGAGTTTTTTATTTTCCTTAACCATTCTTTGGTTGCGTTAATTAGTTTCTGCAACATTTTCTTACATGCACCATGTTAGTTTAATGTACAGTAGGAAATGTACCAAAAAATTATGTGATCAGAAAAATCCAACTACTGTATTACTATTTATTTTTCTTAGTGGTCATTTGCCCTACTCCTTCACGACCTGCCACTTTTGTTCCTGGATTCCGACATGCATCACCAGCTTCTCATTCAACACCATTACACCCTGCCGTTAGACCAGATAAAAATAACAGGCTTTGTAGCCTCACAAATAGTATTTTTATTGAACAAACTAACTCATCAAAAGTCGACACTTTACGAAGTGGGGCATTCTCCGTCCTCAATGCTTCAAGCAACATGGCACGCGTCTCTTCATTGGCTGCCGGTTTTGAAGATGTAATTGGTCAACAACTGTCTGTGTACCCGTGGTATCATGGCACACTTTCACGTGTTCGAGCTGCTAGCTATGTGCTAGGTCAACTATCCGAATTCGAACACGGAACTACACGACGACAATTAAGTTCTCCTGAATGTAATCGAATTAATTCCAATTCAGAGAAAAATAATACTGATTTACCTTCTGTACAGCCTGCTTTATCAACAACTGATGGTGTATTCCTTGTTCGTCAAAGTGAAACAAAACAAGGTGAATTTGTCCTAACGTTCAGTTGTCATGGTAAACCCAAGGTAAGTAGCGTAACGTCAGTTACCATGTCATGATTTTGAAAACTCTGTAAGAATTATAGTACACTTTGAATAACAAAGGAGTTGAGTGACCGATCTGCTTATCTTAATGATGTCAATTCATGAAGAGCACCTAGCATCAGCCCATGTTAACTTATGATACGGCAGACAAGTGATACCATATGAAGAGTGCACTACACAACAAAAATGGACCAGTGTACAAGATGGTTAATTTCTACATCATTGATATCCTCTGTGAACAAATCCTCATGCTTGTTGTTTGTCGACGAATTAACCATGTTGTGCTCAATTCTAAGCATAGCAGCTGTCGATTGTTTTGATCACAACTGCACAGTATATTTTACGCATGTGAATATTGTTAAAAACACGGTAAATAATACTAACTGCATTTTGGTTATATCAAACGGTAACTAAAAAACCAGAAATACGTACAGGTTCAGTTTAATAATTGTCAAATATTTTCGGGTAGTATTTCTGGACTCCATGCGGTAAGTGGCTGGATACCCTCCAAAATTGCATCATCTTCACTAACCCCAAGTGAATGATTTTATTTGCAACACACAGAGACAAGTCGCGAAGGTATTCTTATACGTTTGCTGAACATAATTTTAAAACAGAAAAAAGGGCACACAACGAACCATTTTACGAATCAAATATATTTTATCCCTATTCAGGGTTCAGTTCTTCATACAGCAGGAAGAACCAAATAATCATAAAGATTTTTGGTATTTCACATTTTGCAGAGCAAGCTTAAGAGATTACCCATTTCCGTACAAAGGGTACCTATGTTGAAGTAAATGTCGTTTCCTTGCAACGAATCTTAATTTCTCTTATAATAACAGACTAGCCTGAATCTTCAGTTTAGGTTATCTGTCTATCAACTTATCTGTCACTCGTTGCAAAATCTTCCCTACCGCCTTTCTTAAGTAACGAATGCGGTTTGCAGTAGTCCCCCATACTAATGTTCAACGTCTTGTATTCGCTTTTTACTAGTGCACTAGTTCAACGACAGTTTCTGTGTGGACAAACGTAACCAGTTTTATCTTATTAAGAATAAGCCACTCCTGGAAAAAATTCATCATGTGCTAACGCTAATTACAAATATACCCATAGTAAATTGATTTATCTCACAATACGTAAATGACTTACTCATACAATATTGTCGTCCATTTTGCGAATTATTTCGACAGCATCTCAGGATGACTTTGAGTCCAGATGGTCACTGCAGAGTTCAACACTTACCATTCGATTCCATAGTCGAAATGCTGGAGCATTTTCGACAGGAGCCTATTCCTTTGGAACAGACATCTACGTCAAATTTAGGCGATTGTCTACCTTCGGATGCCTTAACTCCATCTACAACCATTTCTCCTACGCCAATCACATTGTCAGCTTATGTAGTGAACACTCATTTGACAGGAAATCATGAACGACTAGTGATTTGTCGAGGTTCAGTTCGTGCAAACGTGAACACAGTTGGTCGGGCTGCTGCGGCCGCTGCCGCGACAGCCTCCGGTGGTAAAGCATCACAGAATCAATATATCGTTATGTAAAAAGAAAATGAACTGAAATTCATGCGCATTTATCTAAATTTTGGGGATAGAAATCCTCCTTTTTGAGATTATTATTATTTCTTTGTGTATAGTTCTTAACCTCAAGAAACTATTGAATGCCTCACTTGCCTTGGCGAAGCATTGTTGTACTGCATAAAATACCCCTAGGTCTATGACCCACCTACTGAAAAAGGAATACATTCATGACTTTGATTTGTTTCCTCAAATCATATGTTGAGATAATTTGGTGACAGTTTGGAGAGTCATCGTTTATCTTTCCTGGTGCCGGTCAATCCCCTTTGAACAAGCAATATCTGGAACTTTTTTGTAATTGGGTCAAGTTCAACAATGCCTGGGTCAAGGAAGCGACAATGCATTTCGGGTGCAAACAGGAAACGAAGTCAGGGTGACTTGTCTGTTAATTGTAACAATGTGACTGATGTTAAACATTACATGGTTGATGTTACTGTTTCGCCGTTCGGGGATAATAGGAACATCAAACTCCCTAAATTTGAACCACGAAGTTTCGACGGAAACCCAGCTGACTATTTACAGTTTGTAAGGGAATTTCAAATTATGTTGAGTGGCATTTATTAGATGATGAAATGAAGTTGATGCATGTGATGAGGTATTGCACTGGAGATGATTCAAGAGCGATACACTGCTGTAAGTTTATGAAGCCAAAAGAGGGCTACGACAAGGCTATGAGCATACTACGTCAAAGGTTTGGAAGACCTTCGATGATTGTAGGGAAATTATTCGAGGCTGTTAAGGGTAATGGTGGTCAGTTACAGGATGACTCCCAGGCACTCACTGAGTTTTTAGATAATTTGCTAATTTACAGGAATGGAATGATTTCGATGAATCGAATGAGTGACCTCAACTCGAGTTTTATCCTAGAAGTAATAGCAAGACGTATACCTACCCGACTGCAAAGGAAGTGGGTGAAGATAAGCTCCCGTATGGAGGATGAGGGTATCGAGCCAAAGTTTGATGATATCCTGAAACTGGTAAATACTAGTGTTAATCAATCTATGAGCAAGTTCGCCAGTCTATTGCATCTCACCCCTAGAATAGAGCAGTCTGAGAGCAAAATGCAATCATTGATAACGAAAGGGCTTCAGAGAGGTGGATATTGAGAAAGCTCCATGATGTCTAGTAATGCATATAGACCTAGTGAGTGTAACAGATTTCGTAGTACATCCACAACACATAAGTTACAAGATGCAAGACAAAGACGGTTGTGTTTTACACGTTTGCAAGAGGTGCATACAAAGGTGAACTGTGAATCAGTGAGCAAGTTTAGTGATAATCTAAATGTGAAATCAAGGTCTGACTCCGAATTGTGTGACGATAACGGTGTGGTGAAGAAGCCTGTACTTCAAACTGGTAAGCCATTTTTGAACGAAGCGTCACACACGACACCGAACTTTGTGCAGAAGAAGAGAGTTACAGTCTCAGAATCCAGTTTTGACCCATAAGTTTACAAGGATTAAGAAGGTGAAGGAATTCTCTTACACAGCCTCTAAATTATTTAGATAAAGCAATAAGAAGACGTAATTTGTCTGAATCGTGTAATGTATTTGCGCAACACATTTCGAACAATCTGATCACACACGGACTTGTCATAGGAATATATATATATAAAAATTAATAAAGAGGTAAGAAGTGAGAAAAATAGACTTAGGTCAAGTTAAAAAGACATATTCAAGGTCAAAAATAAAAATTTTTATTTTTGACCTTGAATATGTCTTTTTAACTTGACCTAAGTCTATTTTTCTCACTTCTTACCTCTTTATTAATTTTTATATATATATTCCTATGACAAGTCCGTGTGTGATCAGATTGTTCGAAATGTGTTGCGCAAATACATTACACGATTCAGACAAATTACGTCTTCTTATTGCTTTATCTAAATTCATAAAGGGAACTAATTGTTTTAAATCTCTAAATTATTCTCGCGTACCGAAAACAAAGCAAAAGCCAATAATTGATCGTCCAAACTTCGTGATATATTTCGGGACCAAAACAAGCCGTCAGACGAACGCTTAGCTAGCTAGTGATCGTGCACGTGACACGACGGGGTACCAAATGGCGGGGATGCTTGACCGGAGGCCTTCAGCTAAACAAGTCGACTTAAACAGTGGTGGTCAGCATCCAATGGTGAGTGATTGCTGTGGTCAATAATTTTGTGGAATTATTTATCGCTACAGCTCACTCCCCCCTAGTGGGGTGGTGAGGACCCTAAGACAGAACCAGCCAGAGGTAGAAATTCTCGATGGTTCCCTATCGGGTGAAAAAAATCTTCCGAGCGGGTTGGTGGCATGCCTACTGGTTTGTCTGCCTATGCTAATAGGACGTTTGTACATAGCTTCCTTGCTGTTGTTCGTTGGATCCCAAGCTTCGTTTGTTTCCTGTCCAGTGCCCGTCGCACCTGGAAAAGAAAACAAGATCGCTAAGAACCATGTCGAGGAAAATGTATCAAATCAGCTATTTTTGTTTTTAAAAAATGATGTGCATTTAACGTACAGTAAAATAATTCTAAGTTCAGAACATCGAAAAAATACATCTAATTAATAATTCTTTTGTGCATGTTAAATGAACTGTTGAAAAAAAATTCTTGTGTTCAGTGATCCTGCATATAAAAAAATTGATACGTCAAAAAAATAGTTAGTACAACAAACGAATGAGTTGCGTGAATCACACGACTTCGTTATGTTAAATAAGTATGCAGATATTCTGGGAACCTTACGGTGCGTCCAGAACGGGTTTTCTTAGGAGACCCAACCTTAGTAGCCAGTGGGTGAATGCCCTTGCAGTCAATAGTGTGACCCAGGAAGTCGAGTGAGTCAACACCGATTTGACATTTTTGAATATTAATGGTAACACCATGTTGGCGTAACCTGTCAAATGCCAAGTTCAAGTGCCTAAGGTGAGTTTCCTTGTCTGGACTGGCAATGAGGCAGTCGTCTAAGTATGCGCATACAAAGTCGAGACCGCGAAATACTTCGTCAGTGAAGCGTTGGAATGTTTGGGCTGCATTCCGGAGACCGAATGGCATACGTAGAAATTCAAAAAGTTCGAAAGGCGTAATGATAGCCGTTTTCGGGATATCTTCCGTTGCCATCGGGATTTGGTTATACGCTTTAACCAAGTCGATTTTGGAGAATATAGTCGCGTCAGCTAATGTTGCCGTCAAGTCGTATATATGAGGCAACGGGTAGCAATCAGGGGTTGTTTTGGCATTCACTCGCCGGTAATCACCGGTTGGTCGCCAATCACTGCTATCCTTTTTCGGAACCATATGAAGTGGGGATGCCCATGGGCTATTCGAAGGTCGAATGATGCCAAGGGTAAGCATATGGTCAATTTCATTCCTGGCGATTCTCAGTTTGTCAGGAGCTAGTCGTCGTGCTTTAGATGTCACAGGTTGTCCTGTGGTAATGATGTGGTGCATAACATTGCTGGTTATGCACGGTAGGTCGTTCGACGGGCAATTAAGTTCCGGATACTTGTCAACCATATGTTGAAAAGTTGGATCAAGAATTGCCTTTATCTTAACGGGTGACAGACTTGGGCCTATGTAGCTGATGCCTTTGATAGACAGACTAGTAGTATTGTCAATCAGTCGTTTTCGGCGGACGTCTACGAGTAAATCATGATGATTAAGTAGGTCCGTGCCAATGATGGGCATTGTAACGTCAGCGGGAAGGAAAATCCATTGAATAGGTTTGCGTAAACCTACGTTCAGATAGACGTATTTTCTACCAAAGGTTGTGATTGGTTTTCCATTTGCAGCCTGTAAGTTGAAGTTAGGTTCTTTCTGTCGATCTGCTGCTGTAGCAGGAAGGACGCTGACTTCGGCGCCTGTGACGACTGAATATCGAGTCTGGCTTATCACATCATGGATGTAAAGAAGGCAACTAGTGCCACTGGCGACGGTTGCCGCTAACGCGTGCCGGCGGGATAGTTTCCGACAGACTTTGAGACATTTCCGAAGTTACATGGCTTACGGCAACACTTCGCTTCTTGGCCATAGGTGTTGTGGTACCAGCACCAGTCAGGGTTTTTCAGAGAACGTGGCTTGAACTTAGATCGACCACGTGAGTTCCTGCGTAGAGGAGATTTAGGACGACGCTCGGAGGAGTTAGAATGCATGTTCGACCAAAACATCTGCTGGATGGAGTTGCATAACTCTATCATTGCAGTATCGGTGGCACAATGGTTAGGACTCTCGCTGACCATGCTTATGGTCCGGGGTTCGAGCCCTCGCCGACGCACACCTGATATCTATGGTTGGCCTGCGAATTTTCGGCTACCAATATCCACGCTGAAAATTCCGTACTTGTACCAAAAATACGGTGTGGAATCAAGCTGTAATCAAAAATGAAAAATAAAAAAACAAAAAAATAAAATATTCTTACTCGAAGTCTGCTTAGTCATCGAGCATATTTCGGGAACAGACCATTTGGTAATCTCTAGAATCCTATCTGCAGTAATTGCTAAGTCCTCTATTACAGTACCCTGAAGTGTCACAAGTACGGTCTGTACAGACTGTGGCAACTTGGATAAGAAGAGTTCTCTAAATAGTCCTTCGTCGAACTGACTTTGGCCGACAATTTGTTTCATTCTTGTCAGCATGCTCACGGCTGACTGATCTCCTAACTCGATGTTACGAAATAATTCATCTAGACGTTGTCGGTCCGTGAGAACGTTTCTCCTGAGGAGGGATGCTTTGAGCAACTCGTACGAGTTACTTACCTCGGGACTGAACATCTGTGATGTTACGTACTTGCTGAACTCCCGTGGTAGGGCGTGAATAACTGCAAGTAACTTTGAACGTTGATTGGTTATCCCATGCTCACAAAAATCTGCTTCAGCTAGCTGAAACCACGTTTCAGCATTATCTGGCCAGTATGGTACGAGCTGAATGGTTTTAGGAGTTCAGAGGATACGAATGACCTTGAGCCTAAGATCACACATGATGTGGGTGAAGTTCG